ATAGACATGTATTTTTCTGTTCTAGCTCTGTGTATCTTTATATATACATTTTAAAAATCTGTGATTTTTTTTTCCTGGCTAGTGATATGTAATAAAATAGTCTCTTGTGGTGCTAGGCAGTGGCAGTGAGCCACAGCTCCCAGTCAGCCCCACCCAGTTGCAAGAGTAAAAAAAAATGATACACTTAAAACCATTCTGTACCCATATAACCATTCTGTTTTTCACTTTTAATAGAGTATTCAGTAAATTGCATGAGATATTCAGTACTTTATTGTAAAATAGGCTTTGTGTTAGATGATTTTGCCCAACCTTAGGTTAATATAAGTGTTGTGAGCGTGTTGTGAGATAGGCTAGGCAAGGCTATAATGTTTTGTAGGTTTGGTGTATTAATTGCATTTTCAGCTTAGATGGGTTTATCAGAGCATAAGCTACTGTAAATCAAAGAACTAGAGCAAGAGAGAAAGAATGATAAAACAAATAGGACAAAATGTAAACAAGTGATAAGTCTGGGTAAAAGATAAGAACTCTTACTACTAGTTTTTTTTTAAGTTTAAAATTAAGTAAAAATTAAAAGTTACCCTCCATACTCATCAAATTATTTTTAAAAAAAAACACCAATGCGTGGATTAAACAGTAAATTAGATACAATTGAAGAAAGAATTAGACAACTGGAAGATAGCTCTGAATTGCCCACATGCACTACAGAGACAAGAAATGCTAAGAAATAAGAGTTTAGATATATGGAAAATGGAACTATAAAGTCTAAAATTACTTCTAGATGAAGTCTAGAAAGGAAGAATGAAGGAAAGTCAATATTTGAAAAGATTATGGTTTAGGTTTTTCCAGAACTGTTAAGACATAGATCCATATAAGATACTACATTAGAGATAAGACCGTTAATAAGACATCTTTTGGGAACCTGCAGTGAAACTACCTTAAACAGGATTGGAGGAAGGGCGCCTGGGAGGCTCAGTCATTAAGTGTCTGCCTTCGGCTCAGGTCATGATCCCAGGGTCCTGGGATCGCGTCCCACATTCTTAATTAGAAATCAAATGAAAGTTCATTTTTTTCTAAAGTGATTTCTTTTATATTGTCATCAGTGTTAGTAATGTTGTATAATGAAACTCCTGTACTTGTTCTGTTCTGATAGAATCAGAGAATCCTATTCAGGATACTACCATGTGATAAGTTAAATAAAATAGGGGAGGATAGTCTTAGTAATATGACTAATCCCACAAACATAATTACTTTCTATTCCTCTTGATATGAAATTGCATGTCAAATGTATTTATCTTTCCTAAATTCTCAAGAGCAAAATGCTGGTAGCAACCAGAATTTTCATCCCAATGAATCTAAATTTAGTACACCTAAAAATGAAGCACAGTAGTTAAATTATGGACATAGGTGTAAATTTGGGTTAAATTGGAAGTGGGAAGTAACCTGCAGAAGTAATAAGATTACCAGGACGAGGGAGGAAATTAGGATACAGTAGATAAGTGCCCATTTAAAAAATTATTTTTAAAAGATTTTATTATTTGAGAGAGTGAGAGATTGAGAGAATGAGTGGGGGGAGGGGCAGAGGGAGAAGCAGACTCCCTGCATGGCAGGAAGTCCGACATAGGACTCGATTCCAGGACTCTGGGATCATGACCTGAGCCGAAGGCAGATGCTTAACCAACTGAGCCACCCAGGCGCCCCTAAAGTTTACAGTTTAATCATTAAGTGTACAGTTCTATGACATTAAGTACATTCACCTTGTGCAACTATCACCACCATCTATCTCCAAAACTTTTTCCATCTTGCAAAACTGAAATTTTATACCCATACCTATTCACCCTTCCTCTAGTGGCAACCAGTATTTTCTGTGTTTATGAATTTGACTACTTTAAGTACCTTGTTTGAGTGGATCATACAGTATTTGCCCTTTTGATATTGGCTTATTTCATTTAGCATGATATCTTCAAGGTTCATCTGTGTTGTAGCATGTGTCAGAATTTCTTTCCTTTTTAAAGCTGAATAATATACCATTGTATATCTATACTACATTTCGTTTACTCATTTATCTGTCAGTGGGCGCTTGCATTGTTTTCACATTTTGGCTATTGGAAATAATGCTGCTATGAACATGGATGGGTGTACAAATACCTGTTTGTGTCTCTGCTTTCCATTCTTTTGGATATATACCCAGAAGTGGAATTGCTGAATTATGTGGCAATTCTACATGTAATTTTTTGAGGAACTGCCAAACTTTTTCACAGCAGCTGTACCATTTTACAGTCCCACCAGCAGTGCACGAGCATTCCAGTTCTCCATATCCTAGCCAGCATTTTCTTTTTTTTTTATAATAGACATCCTAATGGTTGTGAAATTGTATCTCTTTGTGGTTCAGATTTGCATTTTCCTAATATTAGGGATGTTGAACATTTTTTCATATGTTTATTGGCCAGTAGTATATCTTCTTTGGAGAAATGTCTATTTGAGTCCTTTTTGGTGTATCCATTTTTTTTTTAAAGATTTTTTATTTATTTGACAGAGAGAGACACAGTGAGAGAGGGAACACAAGCAGGGGGAGTGGGAGAGGGAGAAGCAGGCTTCCCACAGAGCAGGGAGCCTGATGCGGGGCTCGATACCAGGACCCTGAGATCATGACCTGAGCCGAAGGCAGACGCTTAACGACTGAGCCACCCAGGTGCCCCATGGTGTATCCATTTTTTTAAACCAAAGTAATAACCCCTAAAACTGCTTATAACTTTACAGAACTACCAGAGATATCGCTTTTAATTGCCAACTAATACTGGTAACAAGTGAGTAAATACTTTAGAAAAATATTTATCCCATAGATCTAATCAAGTTTTGTCTGTTCTTCCTTTATAGTATAGTTTCAACCATCTCTTCCTCTCTGTTCCTATTAACATCATCCTCTTCCATGTAACATAATTTCATGCTTATATTACAGTTGTTTGTTGCTAAAAGAGTGGATAAGGTAAGATTAAAAGCATATAGTATGTACTTAATTTAATAACATACTTCGGCATTGGGCCTAGTTCTAATAGATCGTCATAAAATCCTCTAGTAGGTTTGCTGTTCTTTACCTCTTAACTCCTCCCCGTCAGTTCAACAAAGATTTGTTGTGCACGGGACCTAAGATCTGAGTTTCTGCCCTTCAAGCTGTGGGACAGTGGGCACATCACACCAACTCTTCCATATTGGATGAACTAAGTGATTTCTTACATTTCTCCTAGTTTCATCTATTAAATCTCTTCATGATTCTTATAAATATTACCAGGTTTTAGTTTACAAGCCTGAATTATCTGAAAACCATATCACCCACAATAAATCATGTTTTTAGATTCTGACTGAACTGTTAAAAGTGGGAAATAACAGTCTAACCCAGCTCACTTTCTTGTTTACTTTTATATATTTCCTTGAGCTTCTTAGATCACCCTAGGACCTAAACCGGAAATCTTTTAAATCCAAACATTGAGTTACTTTCTCTAAGAATCAATCATCAATAAGTAATATTTTGAGCAGTTAATATCAGGGTTGGGTTTGTTTCCTTCTAATAGGTAGTATTACATCTTAGCATTTAAAAACAGAATAAAAAACTCTGTGCTGTGTACTTTTAGTTTTTGATTTCTACTTTTTGAAATTTTATTAAATACCAAAATATTTTATACACCTGAATAGAGTACTATATATTCCAAAACTAAATATATATTCTTTTTTGGATCATCTGCCATTTTTATTTGTTCATTCCTCTATTCTCTTCTTGCTTCATTGAGAATTCACATTAAATTGATTTCACGTGGACTTCTAAAAGATACAAGTAGTTTTTCAAAGTGATTTAATTAATCTCAAGAAATAATGTTATGTGATAAGCTACTATAGATATAATAGCAAAATTAAGTGAGCCCTTTTTTGATAGATTAAATTTTTGTATTTAATGTTTACTACTCCATAATGTTTGTAAATTGTCCATCTCTTCTATTTTTTTCTTGTTCTTGTCACTTGTTTGAAAGTCAATAGAAAAAAAGTCAGTAGTAATTTATGAATAATCATTTTCTAATATGTATAAATTTTTTTTCTGTTTTCTATAATACAACCTTTACAATACAATCCTTTTTTTTTAATGGTCAAATTCTCTAATATTTTAAATAACGAAATTTCTGTTTCTCAGGGATCAAGAAAGTACTTTTAACGCTGCATTTGTCACTGGGAAAACTAGTTTTAATTTATATTGACCTTTTTCTCCTTTGAGCATTTAGTCTGCATTCAATAAAATGTTGATGACTGCTCTTTAGAAGACAGCTGTACGAAATAAAGCATTATAAATATTCAGCTTTCCTTTCTAAGCATTGTCACCAACAGCTGGGCATCCAGTTTAGCAGAACAGATTTTGCACAGAGAGAGCCTGGCATGTTCCTGAATCAGTTTAGTGGGGGAGACAAAAAATAGTTTTCTTATGGATTGGGGACTTATAAAGACACAGAGCATCTGTTCCTCAGTTAAGTCATAGTCTGGTAGCACTGAATCATGTTTAAAGCTAGAATAATGTGCAAAGCTTTTTTCACCTTGTTCATACCTTTATTTTAATACCTAGTGCATTATTTCTGCAAATAATATACTTTCAACATCTCCATTAAGGGTGTGTAAATTATTTTGCCCTTATGCTTAATTTTTCATTAGTGATATTTTAAAACACAAATATATTAATCTTTACTAAGATTATTTCATAATATGACTTTAATGCTTGAATTGTACAATAGTGCATGTATATGAAACCATATATAAAAGTCCATTTGAATATTTAATTATTACATATTGAAAGATGCTATTAAAAAATCCAGTTTCATCATCATGAAAATTGCTTTGCTTTCTTCATATGGTATTCTGCTTTCATTGGCAAAAGTAACTCAGAATCTTTGTTTATATTTATTACTCTTAAATATTTGGCTACTTAAAGCATATAAATCTGATTTCTTTAAATATTTTGTTTGCAGTGTTAAGAGATCACTGAAATTGGATCATCTGTTAGAAGCAAATGTAAGTATTTACCTGTGAATTTATAATTGCATAACAAGAATGTATTTTTAGTTTTTTAACAGGATATTTACCTTAATAAATAGAAAAATTCTCAAAAAACATTGTGATGTAATTGTGATTGGTACACCATTTTCTGTATAAAATGTTTTTTATAAATCTAATGTATGGAAGTTCCTGGCCAGATTGAGGTTTTCATTTAAGAGGCAAATTATTTAGAAACCTTAATAAAATAATTCAGTAGAAATGAATTTACTATTTGTGGAAAAAATGTTCTGCCATTTAAATGCACAAGAAACAATATGAACAATGGCAGTGCTTTAATCTGTAGTCTATAATCTGCTAAACTGAAATAAAAACATTAACAGCATTTTTATATAAAAAATGTAATTACCTCCCTCAGCTATGTTGGCATGATTAAACAATAAAGTACTAACAGTGTAATAAATTTCAGCATGGTTATCACAATAAAAATAAAAATGTACTGTTGCTATTACTTTTTGTAAATCTAGTCATAGTACATTACCAGTGCCAGCATATCATGACATATGTTGGTTTATTATCTTTTCATACCAACTATGGAACTAGATACAAATACTAATATTGAGATACTTATGGCCTCAGTAATCTTTTTTTTTTTTTTTAGATTTTATTTATTTATTTATTTGAGAGAGAGAGAATGAGAGACAGAGAGCATGAGAGGGAGGAGGGTCAGAGGGAGAAGCAGACTCCCTGCCGAGCAGGGAGCCTGATGCAGGACTCGATCCTGGGACTCCAGGATCATGACCTGAGCCGAAGGCAGTCGCCCAAACAACTGAGCCACCCAGGCGCCCTGGCCTCAGTAATCTTAAATGCAAGTAAATTGATGAGAAAGTGAATTAAAACTAATAGCTAGTCAATAAATGGCACTCCTACAAAATCCCATATGAAAATGCCATTTCAAGAAATGGATGTTATATGGAATTTCTCTTTGGAACACTTACTGATATTTAACAATTTACCATTTTTAAAACTTCCTAGATGCTTTTTTAAAGATATTTAAACAAAAGTGGGAAAACAGTGCAATGCCACTAAAAAAATCATTAGCAGTGTTATCAGCAATTTAGAGTACCATTATCCAACTTGTTCTATACAGAATGCAGCTGTGACTGTAATTCTGCATCTGTTTCTTTGGTCAGAGTGGTATTTTGGTAGATGAGTAGTCCAGCTTGAAATGAAATACTGTTCTTTCCTGCCCCCAAACTGTTCTTTGGGAGATGCTAACATTATTTGAATAGCAGAGACTGGCCATTTAGGAATTCATCCTCTTCATGAAGTACAATTGTCATCATGGCAGGCTTTCAGTCCATTTTTACTTCAGGTTAAGATGTGTCAAGGTAGCCTGTGCCACAGCTAACATCCTGTATTAGAAAAATACATTGTTATGTTTGGCCCAATTCTGTACCTTTAAACCAAGGGGACTTAGCTTGACTTAGCCTGGTATCACATGGCCACTCCCTGCTAACTGCAGGTTCCTAGCATCTAGCCTGGGCCTTTCCTCAACATTTCTGTTTTCTGACCTATTTCTGGTAATTTCTGCCTTTGTACTCTTGCCTCATTGTTTGTTGGCAGCTCTATATTCACATCTTAGAACTGGCAGCTTTCGTTCTGGTGCTATCTAGGATTCTCTCCTTTGCTACAGTTACGCTTCCATCCACTCCAGTAACAACTTAGCCCTAAAGCAGCCTGGCTCCACAAGTCTACCCACATGCCAATGATCCGTTGAGGCTGCCTTAGCCCATGCAAAGGAAAATCAGACATTCAAGACATACCTATAATTCCAACAGTACCTAATTGCTGTAAAACTGCAGAGAAACTAGTAGTAACTTTATGGTCATTCTTCCTTACAATGTGATACTGAAGGAAGAAGACTGATATCCACAGAAAGGAGATAGCCCTTATATACCAGTTGCTTGAAGTGGAACCTATTCTTTCTAATCTACTGCTGTTTCCTCTCTTAGACATGTTCAAAACTCCCAAATCCCAGTGTTCCCGAAGTAGCTACAGACCTTCATGGAGATTAATGCTCCATGATGTTAGAGCAAGTCTGCAAAAGTCATTTTCCTTATGAGTCTCCTAATGGAGAAAACAGAAATATGAATCAACCCCTGTGACCTTCCTTTAATATCTGGAATGTATACTACAAATACCATTGTTTGCTGAACCTCCCAAATTGTTGGGGGGTAGTGAGGAGTAAAGAATGTTCCAGTTTTTCATCACCTACAATATTTAAGCTGCTCAAGTTATTGTCCTCCAAGCACTGTTTCTAGATGAATTTTCAGAAATGAAGATGAATTATTTATTACAAACTGCTGCCAGTGGCAGTTCAGATGAATTTATAGGAACAACTACCTACCTAATCATGTACATAGTCTCGTTCAGGCCACCTCAGAGAAGGAATGGAAGAAGCAGATGCTACAGGTAGGAAGGGAAGGAGCATACTTCCTACCAAGGCCAACTCAGTAGGCTTACTGCTAGAGGGAATAACAGTGCAAGTTGGGGAGGGTGGGGGAGGTTTGCTAATTTAGGCATGGATTCCCAGGCTAGATTACTCCCTTATTATTGGTAGGACACTTCTGATTATTCCTAGGGCCTAAACTTGTCTTATCTCTCTGAGACAAGGCTTCTGCCAACTCCTGAAATTAGAAAGAACTTTGAATTTCAGGGCATTAGGAAATTTTATAGCTCTCATTCTGCAGTCCTATTTATTGATTTGGTTCACATCTACTTTGTTCTCTCCCTCCCTATATCTCTTAGCAGTTAAGTGGTGCTAATTTCCTCCTCTTCTCATCCCCTGACAACTAATTTACTTGCTGTCTCTATGGATTTGCTCATCCTGGACATTTTATGTAATTGGAATCATACAATATTGTGGCCTTCCATGACTGGCTTCTTTCATAACATTTTCATGTTTCATCCATGTTGTTATATGTAACAGTACTTCACTCCTTTTTGTAGCTGAATCATATTTCCGTTTTCTTGATTAGATACTTAGGGATGGAATTGCTGACTTACATGATAATTCCATCTTTAACTTCTTGAAAAACTGTCAAACTCTTTTCTACAGCAGCTGCACCATTTTACATTCCCACTGCCAGTGAATGGGGAGGGTTCCAATTTCTCCAGATCCTCCTTGCTGTTATCTGACTCTTTGATTCTAGCCATCCTAGTAGGTGTGAAGTAGTATCTCATTGTGGTTTTAATTTGCATTTCTTTGATGATGTTGAGCATTTTTTCACATACTTATTGGCCATCTGTATATTCTCTTTGGAGAAGTAGCTACTCAAATTAGTTACCCATTTTTAAGTAATATTTTTGTTGTTTTACTTTTGTGTATTCTCAGTACAATCACCTTATCACAGATTCTCTGGGTTGTCTTTTCACTTTCTTGGTAGCATCCCTTTGATGCACAAAAGTTTTAAATTTTGATGAAGTCCATCCAGTTTACTTCTTCTTTGATTGCATGTACTTCTGGTGTCATATCTAAGAAACTATTACTTAATCAAGTTAATTTTGTACATGATGTGAGAGTAGGAGCATATATATTCAGTTGTCCTAGCACTGTTTGTTGAAAAGATATTCTTTCCCCCATTGAATGGTGTTGATACCCTTGCTGAAAATTAATGACCTATAAATGTAAGGATTTATTTCTGGACTCTCAAGTTGACTCCATTCATCTCTGTCTGCCTTTATGCCACTACCACACTTTCTTAATTACTGTAAGTTTTCAAAATAAAGTTATAATTACTGTAAATTTGAAATCAGAAAATGTGAATCCTCCTTTTGTTTTTCCTTTTCAAAATTGCTTCTGCTATTCTGTATATCTTGCAATTTCATAGGAATTTTAAGATCACCTTGTCCATTTCTGAAAAACAGCCGTTGGGAATTTTGACAGGGATTACAGATCAATTTGGGGAATTTGCCATCTTAACATTATAGTAATTCACCCAACAACAGCAGAACGTACACTCTTCTTATATATTCTCTCAAAACAACTTCCCTATCCAGATCACTTTCAAAAGCTTGAGATTGTGGGAGTGGAGTTTCAGATAAAGTGTGCAAGTTCTAGGAAAATTTTCCATGAAAGCCCTTGTTTGAATAGCAGTGTTGGAGTTTCTTTGCCTCACTCCTTCCCCTCACCGAGAGAAGAGGAGGTGATGCTATGGATCCTGGACTAAGAAATATGGCAGTACCAGGTGCCTATACTGACCCTATCTACCCTGCTTTTTCTACTGTTTGCTTCATGTTCTTGAACTTTTCTGATTGAAAAGGATAATCACTTACCCACCATGGCTAAATTCTCTGCCTCTGGGAGGAGGGCAGGTCTGTGAATCTCATCCTCTTCCTGAAAGTAAGCTGGCTTTCTCTATGAGGTTGGGGTCTGCTGGGCTTTCAGTGGATGTGAGGCCATCATCTGGCCAATGCTCTGATAGAAGTGGCACTTCTGGAGTAGTATGCATTCCTTGGCTTGATGGTCTAGACATTCAACTGTAGCACCAGTCTCATTTGCATCTATGCTTCTGCATGTTCTTCCCCTTTGGCCACCTCTCACTCCCAATACTGAATACCTCACCAGGTCTGGGGACACAGAGAGATTCTAGGCCCCTGGCAGACTTCTTAAAGGTGAACTCCACTGCCTTGCCCTCCTTCCTTCAAGCTCCGGAAGCCCTCCATGTCATGTAGGCATTAATATTCTAGTGATATACTAGATTGGGTGAGGAAACTAAAACTGAGAGTAAGTGGTATACCCACAACAGCATAGCTAGGGCACAGCAAAACTATTATATGAGCCCAGGCTTCCTTCAATATAACACAGCTGTTTTTCCTTTAGTGTAATTACTTAAATGCTTTATGAATCTTCATCCTATTTGGCAAAATCTAATTTCTAATACTCTTTTTGTTCATATTATCTTTACAGTTAACTAAATTTATGAAATGTTTTTATTTTTTTCAAGATTTATTTA